TTCTGTTTTGAGTATGTAGAAATTCAGAAATGTGTGCTTTGATTGCTGATTTAGGCTGCGTTCATACCTTGCGACTGAGGAGATTTGGCGATTTGAGATACTCGGCTGTCCCACGAAACGCTGGATCGCCGCTAGCAACCGGCGCCGATCGATATCCATCCGCTCGTTCAACGCGCAATCGCCGAAAATCCCCAGTCTCCCAAATGAGCGGATCGCTCTATCTTTGCAGCTGTCAGAGCCTACCTACACTTTCCTCGTCGCGCAATTTATCGCGAATCGCCGAGTTTCCCGAAGCGCTGAGTCTCCCAAATTGCCAAATCTTACCAGTCGCAAAGTATGAACGCAGCCTCGCTGGAGTGAAGATCAAACAGTATATTGGGCCCCATTGAAAAAGACGATATTTTGACTTGTTCCAAGTTTTTTTCGGTGCAGAAAGCCGTATCACTACATTTCATTCGGTGTACGCTCACAATGACGCAGAGGAACGTAACTACATTTTTCCGCTCCGCCAGCGCACGCTTCATTGTCACCTTTGGCACATCTACTTACAACTCATTTGCCTGTTTCGTTCCATTTTGTTTTGTAGTCCTACTTGATTCGAAAAAATGTTCGCTCAAGTTTGATTGAAGTACGAGCGTAAAGTTTTAATGAATGTGTTTTAGGCGTGAGATCGCCGTCAACTTGCATATCCCTTCTACAGTAATGACCGAGATTAAGCCGGTGTCTCCGTGAGTTCAATTTTTGTTATATCAGTACTTATTTTGTTTATCTTTTTCCTAAACATAACTCTCTCTCTCTCTCTCTCTCTCTCTCTCTCTCTCTCTCTCTCTCTCTCTCTCTCTCTCTCTCTCTCTCTCTCTCTCTCTCTCTCTCCTATGCGTTCTTCATTCCCCCCTCTTCCCCACTTCCCTTGTGATTCCTCATCGTCGTGCACATTTTGACAGGCCCACATAACGTTGTAGATGTTTTTGCATACCGAAATTGCCCGGCACACCCGATGGAGAATATTGAGATCATTCCGATGATGACTGATGGGACCAATTTCAATATGAAAAATTTCTTTCATTCATTGGCTTGGAGCATATGTTCTGAGATTGTGTTCATGGTTAGAAGGTTCTCTGTCATATTGTTGAATAGAGATAATTGACGGTGTTCTTGTTTAGTACAGCTCCGCCAAATCTTACACCTTCAAGTAACTCGATTCAATTTAATGAAGAAGATGGCGTTCAACGTAGCTGGCGAAAATCTCAGTTAAACACCCTCGGACGCTGTGAACCGAAATTAATTATTTTGGGCCATGAAAATGTAATGCTAGTCATTCTGTGAATTATGTTGACCCAACTGCCGCTTTGGGCAAAGTGTTCGACTTTCGAATTTGTAATTGCTTGTGGAGGCGTGTGCTTCATGATAGAACGCACTTGTCCATGCATTATCAAGCAGGCACTAAAGATTTCGTGGAAGCCAAAAGCCGTTTAGCTTCCAGATCACAGGGAATCGCGTTCGAACACCGGACATGGACGCAGATACTACCAATAGCGCTCTCTGAAAAAACTTATCTGTTGACTAGTTTTTTATTGGAGTCAATTACCTAGAAAGAAGCGCTCTAGATTGGTAGTTCACTAGTACTGCCACAATTTTTTATTGGTGCTGAAAGGCGAATTCGAATTCATTACCCTCTCTTGATCTTTACAGTAATAGAGACTAGTTTAGAACTGCATTAGCTTAGCTGTCAGTCATTTTAACATATTTCTACTTCCGCTATACCTTCATGCGAAGACATATCTTTGTCACTTTCGAACTGTTCCGTTCGAACTTCGAGTTTTTGTAGTTTGACCATTCGGCCCAGGAGGCTCGGCAGTAGTTTCTGGGCACCGCCTAAACGAGAGCGTAACGTCCCACGCCTGCTGAGGATCTGGTATTGAACGTGAAATCAGCCTTACTAAGCAAGCACGCTATTGACAAAGGCTCGTTCACACTTTCACACTGCATTTGAGCCGCGTGTGGGAAGCGTTATCGATTAGATAACCGCATAAAGTACTGCCCAAAGGAGTGATCTACTTAAAGGCAAACGTATATTGTGGATAGTGGCGCTCCTTTGCAAATCTAGAGCTGCTCAATTGCTCTCTAAGGAAGAAAGAAGCGAAAAAAATCACGGAGAGCACCCTAAGTGAGGACCTGGCAGCCTTTCTGGACGGGTTTTCCGGTGTTCGTTCTATGCCGGCAAAGCGATATTCTGTTGCCTGCTCGTTTCTTCGCGTCAGTTAATGCTTATACTATCTAAAAGTGGAAAAAAAACGAAAAGCGGGGTAAAAACTGAGCCCGTGGCAAACCCTTGGGTTTCGATGGATGGGAGAACTAAAGAGGTGTCAGCCACTTTTTCCTGTGAAGCCGCGAAAGGGCATTCTCTTAGAAACACTACGTGCACAAGGAAGGGTGCCTGTGAATTGCTTGAGCGCGTAACTGTCTTTAACAAGAAGTTTTTTCCTTAGTGGCAGTCGCATCAGACCCTATTTATCGTTCCTCAATCGTTTCTTTATTTGGATGGCATTCTGATAAGCCAAGTGAATGAGTACACTTCAACGGCGCAGTTCGCCGACGGGGAGGGGCATTTTGCACTTTCATTGCTCCACTAGTTCCGGTTTGCATACTTTACCTGATGAAACCTGTGAACTCCTGTGAAGCTGGAGCAAGCTCATCGAGCCACAATGGTGAAACCTGTCAACTCACGAAAAGGCTCTCTAGATGGGTCGACACGTCGATGGGAAGTAGCAAAAGTGCAAAATGCCCCCCCCCTCGTCGCCGAACTGCGCCCACTACAGCAGTAATCCTCTGTACTGTTGATTTTGATCGAGATTATGGACTCAAACTATGAATCACTCCAGGGGCACGCTATCCTTGTGGAAGAGATATGGTCCATCGGAGACAACTGTTCGAGGTATAGTCATCGGAGGGATCACTGGAGGTACTTTGTCAACTTGTGTATTGCTGAAGAAATCTTCACAGAAGGTCACTTTTGAGTCACTTACGTGAATATGTTTTTACATAGAATTACAGGTATTGAGGTCTGCATCACGTTTCCCACTGAATATGTGAAAACGCAATTGCAGCTCGATGAAAGGTCCGCAAAACCGAAATTCAAGGTAGGTAAAGGATCTTTCATCATCATAGCAATCCTCACTACTTTGCATACGAAATTGCGGCACACCCGATGGAAAATATTGAGATCATTCCTATGATGACTGATGGGACCAATTTCAATATGAAAAATTTCATTCATTCATTGGCTTGGAGCATATGTTCTGAGATAGGTTATGGTTAGAAGGTTTTTGAATATCTGTGAATAGGATAATTTGCGGTTGTTCTTGTTAGTACACTCCGCAAATCTTACACTCTTAAGTGAACTCGATTTCTCTCAATTCATGAGAATATGGGTTCAAGTTAGCTCCAAAATCTCGTTAACACCCTGAACGCTGTGAACCGAAATTAATTATTTTGGGCCATAAAAATGTAATGCTGGTCAATCTGTGAATTCTGTTGACCCAACTGCCGCTTTGGGCAAAGTGTTCGACTTTCGAATTTGTAATTGCTTGTGGAGGCGTGTGCTTCATGATAGAACGCACTTGTCCATGCATTATCAAGCAGGCACGTAAAGATTTCGTGGAAGCCAAAAGCCGTTTGGCTTGATCACAGGGAATCGTCGAACACCGGACACTGGACGCAGATTGCTGTCTGAAAACTTATCTAATTGACTAGTTTTCTATTAGAGTCAATTACCTAGAAAGAAGCGCTCGATTTGTACTAGTACTGCCACAATTTTTTATGGTGCTATGGTGAACTCGAATTCATTACCCTCTCTTGATCTTTACAGTAATTTGTCACTTTCAAACTGTTCCGTTCGAACTTCGAGTTTTTGTAGTTTAACCCTTCGGCCCAGGAGGCTCGGCAGTAGTTTCTGGGCACCGCCTAAACGAGAGCGTAACGTCCCACGCCTGCTGAGGATCTGGTATTGAACGTGAAATCAGCCTTACTAAGCAAGCACGCTATTGACAAAGGCTCGTTCACACTTTCACACTGCATTTGAGCCGCGTGTAGGGAAGCGTTATCGATTAGATAACCGCATAAAGTACTGCCCAAAGAGGAGTGATCTACTTAAAGGCAAACCACACGTATATTGTGGATAGTGGCGCTCATTTGCAAATCTAGAGCTGCTCAATTGCTCTCTAAGGAAGAAAGAAGCGAAAAAAAATCACGGAGAGCACCCTAAGTGAGGACCTGGCAGCCTTTCTGGACGGGTTTTCCGGTGTTCGTTCTATGCCGGCAAAGCGATATTCTGTTGCCTGCTCGTTTCTTCGCGTCAGTTCTTGCTTATACTTGTCTTAGAAAAGTGGAAAAAACAGGAGAAGCGAAGCGGGTAGAAAACCTGAGCCCGTAGGAAAACCCTTGGGCTTATGCAGGATGGAGACTAAGAGGTGTCAGCCCACTTTATTTCTCTGGTGTAATGCCGGCGAGAAGGGCATTCACTTAGAAACACGTACGGTGCACAACGGAAGGGTGCCCTGTGAATTGCTTGCAGCTCTCGTCTAACTTTCTTAACAAGAAGTTTTTTCCTTGAGTGGCAGTTGCATGCAGCACTCCTATTTATCGTTCCTCAATCGTTTCTTTATTTGGATGGCATTCTGATAAGCCAAGTGAATGAGTAAACTTCAACGGCGCAGTTCGCCGACGGGGAGGGGCATTTTGCACTTTCATTGCTCACTAGTTCCGGTTTGCGTAGTTTACCTGATGAAACCTGTGAACTCCTGTGAAGCTAGATCAAGCTCATCGAGCCACAATGGTGAAACCTGTCAACTCACGGAAAGGCCTCTCTTTAGATGTAAATCGACACGTCGATGGGAAGTAGCAAAAGTGCAAAATGCCCCCACCCCTCGTCGCCGAACTGCGCCCACTACAGCAGTAATCCTCTGTACTGTTGATTTTGATCGAGATTATGGACTCAAACTATGAATCACTCCAGGGGCACGCTATCCTTGTGGAAGAGATATGGTCCATCGGAGACAACTGTTCGAGGTATAGTCATCGGAGGGATCACTGGAGGTACTTTGTCAACTTGTGTATTGCTGAAGAAATCTTCACAGAAGGTCACTTTTGAGTCACTTACGTGAATATGTTTTTACATAGAATTACAGGTATTGAGGTCTGCATCACGTTTCCCACTGAATATGTGAAAACGCAATTGCAGCTCGATGAAAGGTCCGCAAAACCGAAATTCAAGGTAGGTAAAGGATCTTTCATCATCATAGCAATCCTCACTACTTCCGTTGTTTCGAAGACTTCATTCATTTTTTTATTTTCATTTCATTCAAAGAATATACAGTTTTTGTTTATTCAGGGCCCAATTGATTGCCTCAAGCAGACGGTAAGGAATCATGGATTTTTCGGTCTATATCGAGGGTTGTCGGTCTTGATTTACGGTTCGATCCCGAAATCCGCGTTCAGGTAACTTTTGATAATCATCCATGACTCAAATATTTCTTGTCAATCAAGGTACGCAGATATTTGGAATGTCACATCCACTTCGAAGCGCTACCAACAAACTAGCTAGAATCTCCTTTCCAGTTGACTTGCAACAATAGAGCATCTCCGCGTCAACTCGTTATTTAAATTGTGGTGCGAACAGCGCTCAGAAAGCGCATTACAACCGTGGTAATGATGCGCTGCAACGCGCGTCGATGCGCTTCCATTACTACAGTGCTCCAATGCTGTACGCGGGAACGCAGCTATGGACGGGTATCGATCGGCGCTTGCCCTACTGCTTTGACAGAGCATAGGAGAATAGGAAGGCACGCTTTGCCTGAGCGCACTGTCGAGTACATTCCTAGTCCCTCGTACTCTCTCAAAGCAGTGGGGTCCGGTGTCAATCGATACCCGTCTAAGGTTGGGTTCCCATCTATAGGGTTGGAACGCCGCTGTAATAGTAGCGCATCCACGCGCGTCCTAGCGCGTCATCGCGAAGTCTGAACTCTGCCTCGTGTGACACCGCTTGCAAAGCCGTTTTCGCTGCGTTGTCGATGTTAATGTAATGTTCCATGTCCTTAGGCTCGTAAAGTTGTAAAGAGTTATCAGCGGCATTGGCGAACCTTTTTTTGAATGTTGTTGTTCATAGATTCGGAACATTCGAGTTTCTGAAAAGCAAGGCTGTGGATGAAAAAGGAAACCTTCCTCCAATGATGCGGCTTCTTTGCGGTCTCGGTGCAGGTCTGTTTTTTTTTCTTTTATTCAAAGATATATGTTTTCATCGCCGTCCTAGTATAAAGCTTTGCAACTCGAAAAAATGTCTATTATAACTTCAAACTTGTATCACCTTTCCTATTCATTTAGTGGGGCGATTTATGTGCATTAAAAAATATGATCTGCAAATAATGCCCTCTAGGTCTCTCGGAAGCTGTTTTTGCTGTCACACCTATGGAAACTATCAAAGTGAAGTTTATCCATGATCAAGGCCTTCCAAATCCACGGTTCAAAGGTTTCATTCATGGAGTCGGTTGCATTGTCAAGAGTGAGGGAATCGGGGTTCGTACAATTTGTTTTTCTTTTATTTTGCGATTTTTAACTCCCTCCAGAGGGCGAGTAGTGAGGCTGCATTCATACTTCGCGATCGGATTGCACGAGCGATTGGATCGCGCGATCACGACCAGCGGTGCTCCACCGCCACCGGTCGTGATCACGGTGCACCCGCAGCAACGGCACAATACAAACTGGTGCTGTGTGAAGCGGCCCAAACTCTTCTGTTGCGGCGGTGCACCGCTTGGCAGGGTCGCGCAATACAATCGCTCCAACGATGCGGCGAGATCGTAGAGTCTGAACGCGGTCTGTGATCGTCAAAGGGCAACTTATTGAATATAAAACCAGAAATTGCTCAGGGTGTTTACAAAGGCCTGGCAGCTACAATGGCCAAACAAGGTTCGAATCAAGCCATCCGATTCTTTGTGAAGGAAACTTTGAAGGTACTTTTGAGTTTGCGATTTTCAATTTTTTTTCAAGAAGTTTCATCTCTTTTTCAAAAAACATTTATGAATGAATGATATGTGTTTTAAGGATTGGTACCGCGGTGGAGATAGCTCGAAGACAGTTCCCAAACCAGTTGTCGGTCTCATGGGAGCGGTGGCAGGTCTTTGCTCTGTGTACGGTAGGTTAACTGGATATATTATGTCATTGTTCACAGTGATTTCTTGCTGTCTTTTCAGGAAATACCCCTATTGACGTTGTTAAAACAAGAATGCAAGGACTGGATGCTAAGAAATACAAGAATTCAATCGATTGTGCTGTCCAAATATGGAAGAAAGAGGGCTTCTTCGCGTAAGTTATTTGATTTCCTATTGTCGCTTTGAGACTGGCCAGGAGAAATTAGAGGGGAAGTTGAGGGATATGGTCAGGCGGCGAAGGCTCTAGTCTGTTCGTTTCTGCCCTCTGAGGATAAAGACGCAGTCCAGTAATATCGGCGCCAGAAAACGACGTCTGGCGCGCTCTTGTGACAGAGGCGGCAAAGAAGGCTTGAAGAGGAGGGGCACCAGCGGCGTTCACTGGCTCCGCCTCCACGTGGCAGTCTCAGATGACCCCTTATGCCTTCGAGGAAGGGATCACTGTCTCGGTCGAAAGGCGCAGATGAGCAGACGTGTCGTAGGGTGTGCTCAAGCTATGCGACTGAGTAGATTCGATGACTAGGAAGACTCGGCGATTTGAGAGAGATTGCGATTGGTGAGTGTATGTATCGATTTAGCGTATTTAGCGTAAAGTCGATCTAGCGATTAGGGATCTGGGGCGTTTGGCGACTCGACATCAGGGCACATCCTTGTTGGGGAATCCCCAACAGGGGTCGTATTTGGCCGCCAGGAGAGGGGGTCGTATTTGGGCTGAGAAAAATTTATTTTGATAGTTGATTTTTCTCGCTTCACGGACGTTGTAAAGGGGGGTCGTACTTGCTCATTGTTGGGAGGGGGAGGGGGGGGGGGCGGGTCGTACTTAGTTTGCGCTGGATGCCTCTAGGAGTGTGTTGACTTTCGTGATTTCTCCTGTTATTATGTGTTTCTACACCCCCCCCGCTTCGACAAGCAAATTTTTGGAAGTGAAAACAGTAGGGAAGTTTCTGCAATTGGAGAGAGTGTCAGGAATTTGGGATAATTCTGAGAGTTGGTGTAAGGGGGTGTTATTGTCTCGCGCGTTTCTTCGCTGTATCACTTGTGCATTTTACCGCACCCCCCTGGACAGATGAGACGGGAAAGAGGGCCCGCACCAGAGACCCGCCGGGGCGTGATCGGTACCTACGCCCACCCCCGCCTGAAGAATAAAAAACGGGTGTACTGCGGACTCGAGTCAAATATTCCCAACCAATTATGCCTGCTTGACTTTTCGTCTATCGCGCACCAAAGGGATAGTGTGAGTGGAGCGTCCAGCGCTTGCAGAGATTGGGGTGTGGGCGACTGCGTGCATCATGGAGTGGCATGGGCTCATTGACGGCGCTGAATCGCCTAAATGATTTCGAAACGATTTGCCACTCCGCTTAGCGATTTGGGAAATTCAGAGCCATTTTGATACCATTCCCTTTGCGCTACGATCGCCCGGAACGCCAAAGTATTCCTGAATGTGCCGGATCGCTTATTCGCAAAGTATAAACGGCCTTAGCCGCAGCAACTCATCACTTCCATTTGTAATTAGGAACTAAATATGTTTCAGCTTCTACAAAGGCACTGTTCCCGCCTGAAGTCCGAGTACGTTCTGTGTAGCAAATCACCTTTATGATCTACGATTCTTTAATGGACGTCCTCAACAAATACTGGAGGAAGCCAGCTGACTAAATTTTAAATGTTAGGTAGAATATAACATGTATCTCATCAGTTATAGTACAGGATAGCCATTTGGCAGATGTCACTTCCATTATTATGAATTTCACTAGTTCATTTTTTCCTGGTGTATTCATGTGTCAAATCAGAAAGAGTGCAAGTTAAGATTTCTGCATGCCTTAAATGTTAATGTACCTCAATAGTTTTTTTTCTTACTAAGTTTGGCCAGCTATTAATTTGTACCTTATGTAAGACTAACTACTGTGTTCAGTGACTTCTCACATTTAACTTTTTTTTATATTGCAGTGATTTTAGGGCTTTTTTACACTCCTTAGAATTAGAAATTTCACATAATAATGGCAATAGTTCAATATCTAAGAGCGCTAGTCCTACTGCTACGCCACGCCACTCGCTATTTTTTTTACAGTGTGCAGTTGTTTGTTACAAAGGTCATGAGGCTGTCGTGCACGCTGAGTCCTGCACTTCACTTATCCATCTGTTCGTGCGCTGATTTAATTTAAACCTGGGTAAAAGCGAGTCAGTGCAGACTCCTCGCCAATTATCGACCCATCACCCACAACGCTCCGCGGCCGCACGCTCCTGGGCTTGTCACTGCAATCAAGATTGATAAGAATAACTATGTGCTCTTAGAGTTGACTAAATGCACTTTTACCTAGCAATTATTCACTGCTTTATCAATTTAGTTAACCCTGTTCACTTTTTATGATGGTTGTCAAGTGAATCGAATCTGTGATTGAAGTGATATACAAAGTCACTTATTTTAATCGTGACTAAGATCTGTTAAATAGTGATAAATTAGTGATAAATATTGTTTTAAGATGTTGTTCTTGCTCACATTGGTTGAAGCTTGATATCAGGGTGAATCGAGTCTCTATTCAGTTCAGGAGAGAAAGGAGGGGCATTGTGCATTTCGCTGGTTTCTTTTGCCAGATCCTGTTGAATTACAGTTCTCGCTTGGAAACCTGTAGGTTCTTACCAGGTGTAATCGGAGCTCATTCTATTGCATAGCTTCACAGGAATACACATGTCTCCACAAGAGGCATCGGCAGTGATTAATGAGAACCAACAAAATGCCCCCACCAAGCCGAAGTGCGAACTCATTAGTGATCAATCGATTTTCTGATGTTTGAAGTTTCGGCTGAGAGGTTGATTTTGGATGCTGTGGCGGAAACGCAGATGACCGCGAGACAAGGCTACGCCCGTCTTGCGCTTGTACGCCTTCTCACCGTGTGTTCAAAATTGGCTCTCTTCGAAGTGCCGTGTTCGAGCCAGACAGCTGACCAGATACAGTAAATACTACTGCAAGCCCCGCCCCGACAGCCACGCCCAGTTGCAGCCCGGTCAAGCTTTTTGAAATTTGAGAGCTGGAAGTAGGCTGCTGCAGAAGATGATCAACGACGATTTGTGGTTGAGAGGGACAACACGCCAGCACCCCCGTACCCCTTGCGCAATCAAGGCTCAGGCTTAGTGGTACCATGTCATCTCTGCGGGACTACTTCTCGGCAACTCTGGTCGACTGCTGAAACCGAACCCTTTTTAGGGGAGGGACATTTAGGCGCGGCCGAGAGGAAGGATCGATCTCCTATCGTAAACAAGAAAAGCGCATTCTCCCGAGTTCCCTCAAAGTCAACTGAGGCACAGCCCATCCTAGTGTACTTTCCTAACTGCAAGCCTTTCGCTCTGTGCTGTGCCTTGGGATTCGCAAGAATTTGTGTGCATCACACATTCATCAGTACTCTTGAGCAGCCTTCAAGCTGGCACCACTGTACAGTCCTCATCATTACGGACTGTCGGGGCGGCACAGCCGCGCTGCACTGTGACGCGACAGCGGCTCGGTGACGGCGAATCAGCTGATTTCCATGGAATTCGACTGCAAATTCCCAATTTTTCATCTCTTCGAGATTCGAAAGCGGAAGGTGAGGTTATTTTGAGCAATTTTTAATTGTACTGACTCTGAATGAATCTGAAAGAATGTAAGCCATTTGAATAAATGCCTGAAATAAGGCAAAATACAAGGAAAAGAGCATATAATCGACATAAAAATAAAGGAAATCAGAGCCAGTACATGTGGGGGCAGGAATAACTCAAGCTCCACTTCAGAGGCTTGAAAAAGCTGAACAAGTAGGAATTTGCAGTCGAAATTCTCAGCTGATTTCAGGGCCGTCAGCGAGCCAGGCAGCCCGCTGTCGCGTCGCAGATGCAGCGCGGGTTGTTGCCGCCCCGACAGGGTCCTAATGATGAGGAGTGTAAGAGGATGCGGAATCCTCCAATAAAGGATTCGATTTTTTGTATCGGTTTGTCGACTCCCGCTAAAGTGGAGAAAACAGAGGATGAAGATATCGGATCCTGAGCGACAGATGAGTCGGAGCTGCTCCATGGCACCCTTCTTGTTTCCATACAAGGTCGCGGTTCGGCAGGTAACGTGGGTCCCGTAAGAGAACACCGAGATTAAAATCATTGAAAACTGGGAGATTAGATGGATATGTTGTAAAATCTAATAAAGTGAGAATTGAGAATTATGAGGGAGTCGAAAGCGGAAGAGAGTAGCTCATGCTTGAGGACCTTTCGGTTCGATTCGTTTCATGACTTATATGATAAACTGTGACCCGTGAAGGTGGCTAGATTAGATAGGCTGTGGCCATGGACCTCGCTGGCGAGAGATCAGCCGGCTAGAGGCTGTAAGTCGATTCTCCTACAAGTGACAGTGTATTGCTGTCGCAGAACGCAGTCGTTCCGCGTCAAGATGTAACGAGACCGCCATCTCTATGGGTCTCTCGGCCATCCGTCGTCGGACTCTATCTGCAAGACGCACAGTATTTCTTTCACCATACTACTCTAACACTGCAACAAACCAACTGCAAAGTTGTGAGTTGTGTTGTCTGGGGGCATTCACGACTGCTTGTTCTACTTTCACCCCACTGGCGATTCAGCGTGCACCTGGGAATTCGTATCCGAACTCCAATATCCATGCCTTGCCACGCGAAATGTGTCTTTAAGGCTGATCCTAGCCGCGCGGAAGTCTGCAACGGAAAGCATCATCTTGCATGAAGATTACTGAATAACTGAGTTTTGAAAGTACACACTACCACAACTTGGTATGCAGCCAAACGCCGGCACCCACTGCCACCCCCACCGCGGTACCGGGTGTGAGTGAAGTGGAGGGACTGTATTTGCGAAAATTTTCTGGGAGTAGGAGAGGAGCGTGCGGTTGGTCGTACATGGGCCCAGGAAGTAGGAAGTCGGAGAAAGGATATTAGTGGTGTCGTGTGATGGAAGACCAGGGTGACGTGTAATAGTGAATGATGAGGCAGTCGCGCGCGACGCATAGCTATGGCTACTGTCTGGCCAGACTGGCGACTGCGTGGACTCTGGTCGTCTGCGCTCTGCTAGAAGCAAGCAAGGGAAGGCAGGCGACGCACCGCCGCTTGGTTCTACGAAATTATGCTGGCACGTGACTGTCATCATGAAGTCCCACGGAAGGTGCACTTGGACCACAAGGGTGCTAAAAATCAAATAGCTAGCCTCATCGTCAGTTGTGCAACACGTCGGGAAAATTGCTTTTCTGTCCTCGGTCCTTACAGCAAGAGAAACTTCGCTTAACAACAGCTCCGTCACCCTACATCCCCACATTCCAAAGTTCTGAATCATGCAAAGTGGCCTGTGAAATAACGTTAAAGCGTGAACGTGACCGCATAAGCTTCGGTGTTTGGCGCTGAATCATTTCACAGGCGATTGTATCCCACAATAACTATATTTTATTCGAGGAAGTTTTATTTAAATTCCTGATCGTTTTGAGCTCTATAACGAAATCACTCGGAATGTTTAATCAGTGCTTCTCATGTAGTAGTTTCTGATCGGTTGTTGGCCCAACAGAGGCAGGCCCTTCGGTGCAATAGTTCGTCGGATTACGGTAATCTCAATTTTGCACAATGACATTTTTGGAGTTACGTTGTGTTATGGTTCCACTTTCACTACAGTTCTTCAATTTCCTTGAATGTTCGGAGATGTTTAGTGCCAGAAAATCCTAAGGAAGGATTGTGAGCTCGAGGATTAGGGTAGCGCCCAATCCTTGTGAGAATGAAGCTCCAAGATGGTGGACCACTGAACCAATAAAAAATATTCGGTGCTTGTTAATGTCCTGCATTCCAAAGAATTCTTGCAAAGACTAGACTAGCACTGGTTTAATGCTTTCTGGAACTTTCTGGCGTGGGGTGATATGATCAGGCGGCTTTTCGGTGGTTTGGTCTTGCGGTCTACGATCGCCAGCTAGACAGACCTGTCCAGTCTGGCCCACCGACCGACGACACGCCCTTGCCGATCGATTAGCACCATTGCAAACGGTTTTTTCATCACCCTTTATATTTGCCCTCCTTTATTATGTGAATGATATTCAGCACAGAAGGCATTAAGGGTGCTTCGGAAGCGGCTTTTTCCCTTGGAATTGCGTTGTCTGTCATGAGAACATCGGTTGATGTTTTGAGTGACAGGCAACCAACCGGTTCAATAGGTGTTCCCTTGTGTGATTCCACGTGAACACAACAGTATTTTGCTCGTTTTCGTCTGCCAGTCCATTACTCACCATCGTCGCCTCTCATACAATGTCTGATTCTGCAAGTTCCATAGAGTTACAGAAACGAATGTCGAATCCAGTGAGAGAAGGCTATCGAGAATTCGAAAATGAACGAGACACTGAATCAGTAGCACAGGTGCGTCTTGCTCTTTTTTTCGCATTCAGTGATTTATTGCATCGAAAATTTCTGGAGTCATTTAGCTTTTGCCTTTCTACCGCTATTTCGCATAAGATTCGTTATATAGCTTCTCTCTTCTTAACCACACTATTTTCGGAAGTATAGGTCGCATCTTCGCTTTTAACGCGCTTCCTCACTTTAATTTTGTGCAT